TCTCAGCTCTTCTCAGCTGAGTTCAGCAGTTTCCTCACTAATTATTCAGAACAGTTTACATATGAACTAGGATAGAAGTCCACCGAAACCAGAATACAATTTCCCAAAATTTTCTCCTATAATCACTAACACAGGTAGTTGACCATTTGCATACCTCCTCACAGCGGCATCTACTATAAAGCTGAGCATTAGTACACCCAAAAGGAACATCCCCTCGAGTTGAAGCTCAGTTCCGTCCATCAGTCAGCAACAGTGTTCGAGAAATATATGTTCGCTTTCCTCAGCTCAGCTCAGGAGTTTACATATGAATTCGAGTACAAGTGCACATAAACTAATGAGAGTTTCTCTATAATTTTCATGTTGTCACCAATCATGTGCAAACCCTCCCACGATGGTTAGCAGTAATTTCATATTCCCTCGCAGACCCTATACCAAGCTCACCTAGATGTAGGATCAGTGATGGACAGGAACAAGTTGGTTGTCTTCACCCTAGGATGCAACAACGGTGGCGCAACAGCAATACATCCAACGTCAAATACCAGTACAGGAGTAGTGTTAGAAATATCGTAACTAAAATTAGGGCGGAGCGAAGCTGTCGATGATTCCCTCCACACAACACACTTACATTTTCACAGCGCTGGTCTCCTGCTCCACAAGCGTGAGGTAATTCGTCATCTTACCACCGCTCACATGGGCCAAACCCCAGAGGGGAGGGGTGGCATCTGAGGCGCCTGGGCCGTCAGAACAGCCAAGACGGTCAGTGGGGATCTCCTTGAACGACCCATCGATATAACGGAAGAGACCAAGCGTGCCTGACGAAGAAATGACAGGTGCCGGGATCGAACCCGGGTGCATCAAAGGCTCACCATCATCCATAACCGCTGCGACAAACTCGTCATTAAGACTAGCCTGCTTACAAGGCAGCCCGAAATGGAGGACCATTTCCGCAACACACCCAATAGGCAACCGACGGACCCCCAACGGAGTCACCTGTCCACCATAATTCGTGGCGCGTGACAAAATCGCCACCAAACCCACCATGTAAAAACAGTCGCCCATCTTCCCAACATCAAGTGGGTGCCTCCGAGGTTCGATACACCTCCTCAATAGACGAGGTCAAATCCAAGAGCACAGCCCCT